CAAATGCTGATGTCTTTTGATGGATATTTAAGAAAGGCGGAAGATGTCAAAGGTGACTTTTTCTTTTTCTTTTACAAAATAGCAACCCATATTGAAGAATCATTTCCTTATATGGTATACTGAACTACATCTTTTTCCAAAAATACCTGGTTATATTCATTTTAAAGCAGATACACAACATAGAATAGGGTCGCGAAGCGATTTTTCCCATCATGCAGAGGTGTGATTTCGGCAGGGGTTCTGGGGTCCACTGAAGCTCTTGGATAAATCATGTAAAACTTCATGTGTTATGACCATTCATCGGTACTTTAAAAATGTTGGGGAAATATTTTTCATGAGCAGCATTTTTAAAAATTATATCTTAAGTCGATCACGTACTTTATCCTGAACAATCTGTTTATATAGACTATAACCGTTATACATGATGGAACTGTACAATTATTTTAAAAAGTATAACCGCTAAAATGTAATTACAGATACCAACTTTAAGAGAATAGCACGATCGACGCGGTATATCTGACTTCCCTGTCTCAAATCTTATAAGAAGCTCCCGAACCTAAATATGATAGTATCCCTCGCTCTGAATGTCTTTTGGATTATATTTTGTGTCGTAAAACAGTCTTTTCAATACATACCTTACCATAAATATAAATTAAGAAGATGTGGTATGATTGCCAATGAGACAACTCTCCACAAGAGACCAAATGACACAGGAATTAATAACCATAGATATAAGAAGATGTGGTATGAGTGCCAATGAGACAACTCTCCATCCAAGTCACAATTTGTAAAAGCAAACCACCATAGGTCAAAGCACGGCCCTCAACACGGAGCCTTGACTCACACCGAACAGCAAGCTATAAAGGGCCCCAAAAATGACTAGGGTAAAACCATTCAAACAGGAAAACCAACGGTCTAATCTATATAAAAAACGAGAAAAGATTACACTTATGAACCACATCAACAAACGACAACCACCGAACACCAGGTTCCTGACCCAGGACAGGTGCAAACAAATGCGGCGGGTCTAAACGCTTCAATAGGCGCCAACCCTCACCCCACCCGAAACAACAGTGCAACATCACAAAAATAGAAAGACACACTATTAAATATCAATTGAAATGGCTTAAATCAATCAAAAGACATATTAACAAAAACAAGTGAACATACACTGAACGAATAAATTTGATCTATGAAACAATGTAAATACAAAATTAATAAAACAATGGGGTTAGATTTAAAACAATATCAGAAAGATAACCACATCTTGGACAAAATGCCGCCAAATAAAATAACGTACACAGGTAAATAAAAATAATTTTGTTGTAAGGTATGCACGGAGTACGAAATAATTTTTACAAAATAAATAATTTTGTTGTTCCTAGTACGAGAACAAAAGTGGTCATACTAAACACTTATCAAATGTGGCATATATCAAAAATAATGAGACTAGATATAACACTGAATAAGTAATCATTAAATAACAAAAATACATTACAAATTGTATCAACAGGTCAGATTAACACGAAAGTACGATTTGAGAGTACTCGCAGTTACTGAAAGCTAGTTAAAAGCCAAAAATAATTAATAATAAAAAATCATGCATCAGAGACTAAAATCAACTAAAACACATTCCAGGGATTTAGTGTTTTAACGTCATGGACAGTCAAAGAAGACATGACTTGTGCAATGCCAAAATAAAAGTATCGACAGGCAGTAAGATAGCTAGGAGTTAACCTGTTAATAAATATGTATAATGTAATATATGGATAGAGTAATCTCTATATAGAAAATGCACGTGGATGTGTATTTATACATCCCAAAAAAACGTTTGAAAAGAATAAAAATTTAGTTATGTTTTAATTTGCTGATGACAAAATCGATATGTGTGCCAATGTAAACTATATTCAAAGATCTAATTACAACATTGGCATGCTTACTTCTGTTATCAGGAACGTGTGCAAAACAATTGTATTAATGGCTTCATGGTAAATTGCTGTATATGTAACAGTTTAAAAACTGATCAATTTAGTACGAAATTCACTTGCTAATATATCTGTGAATTCATATTAATCATCGAAATTGACGTGTATATCCTAAAATAGCTATTTAATACTTATAACAATGTGTAAAATTAAACATCATTTATTGTAATTTGTTAAACGTGATGTCGAAAATAAAATATAAGCATTCAACAGAGATATTTTTACTCATATCAAAATCTTTAAGCAAAATAACTGTTTTCAAGAGTCTCTTAAAATGTAATTGAAATATCAATTACAACATCTCGATTATTTGACGATATTTGGTAGTGTTTACAGTTTTTCTTGTATCGATTTTTTAAAATATTAAAGCATATACCAAATATGCAAGAAAAAATAAAATCCATAAATATTGAAATATCAGAGATACGAATGTCATATGAACATCTAAGGGATGTCATTTCATAGATTCCATTTTTTTTTCATTTTCGAGTTCAAAGCTTAAGGGGACACACAAATGGCTCATCATGCATTCTGCCTTGCTTATAAACCATCACGATAGCAACTCCCTATGTGCGCCCTTTATTGATCTAAGTCGGTTCTGACTGTTCTTTGAGTGTCCCTTTTTCTTAAAGGGACATTACCTACGAATCAGACCGTAAAAATAAAATAAAATATATGATTATTTTGTGCTTCAATCATTTATAAAAGAAGAATGCATAAATAATATTTAGCTATTATAAGCAGTCAATTTTCCCCTTTAATGTTACAGCAGTTTACACTGAATCCATCAATAAAATTGTTTCGCTGACACGTTCCTGATAAACACAGATGTAAGGAATGTGTTGAAAAGACTACATATATTGAAATTACAACACAAAATAAAATCCTAAGGACATTCAGAGCATTGCATACCGTTTTATTATACTCTGGCGCCTCGGATGAGACTTCAGACAAGGTAAAGTCAAAAAACGGCGTCTCTCGTGCTATTATCTGAACAATGGCATATGCAAGGATTTGATAAGTGTACAAATCTTTGGTATCTGTAATGAGGGGGGCAAGGGGATCCAATAACAGCAAATATTGATTTGGCTTAAAACAGATAACAAGGAATTGAAAGGGCATAAAAATAGATAACAGTGAATTAAGAATTGTTTGAATCTAATATTTACGTACAGGGAAACAAGGAATATTATCCCCATATACATGACATATGTAAAAATTCGAAAGGGTTTTTCTGTTAGCCGCAGCTGGCTCAACGAAAATGGGGAAAAAATTATGAAAAATTTAACCACAGAGTGAATGTAATGTTAACTGGCAGAAAAACTAAGTCATTTATAAGTAAAATACGGATAAACAGGATTTTTTTTTCACAAAATTTTACTTCTGGATACTATCTTATGATTATATACAAGCTTCTGTCCAAGTTATTAATTAAAAAATATTTAAACTTTAAGCACAGAGTGTCACTGTGAATGTAATGTTAACTGGCAGAAAAATATGTCATTTTATAAGTAAAATACGGATAAACAGGATTTTTTTTTTTACAAAATTTTACTTCTGGATACTATCTTATGATCATAAACAAGCTTCTGTCCAAGTTATTAAAATATTTAAAACTTTAACCACAGAGTGAAAGTAATGTTAACTGGCAGAAAAACTAAGTCATTTAATAGGTAAAATACGGATAAACAAGATTTTTTTTTACAAAATGTCCTTCTAGGTACTATCTTATGATCATAAACAAGCTTCTGTCCAAGTTTGGTAGAAATCCAGGATAGTTTAAGAAAGTTATTAAAATTTCAAAAACTTTAACCACAGAGTGAATATTTCATGTATTTGTGGACGCCGCCATCGGAATGTAGGATCGCTATGTCTCGCTTTTGCGACAAAAGTTGTAGGCTCGACAAAAATCAAATTCGAACAATTCTTAATATTACAAAAAGGAAAACAGGGATACCTGATGAGGATAGGCCTAGGTTCATACGATCTTAACCGAAACACCTTTTAAAGAACACAGACTCAGCTCTGTGATTCTTTTTTAAGAACACGCACACTATTCAAATTACAAGATCGCCGTGTGAGTTTTTTTTAAATGTTCACCAACAAATGCTGAAAACAGTATTCCATAACATAAAATTATCATCATACATTGAGTTAAAGATAATGAATTTATCACAAAGGATTATAATAAGATATACTGGAATAGTCCTGGACACGATCGACTGATTTTAATATGTTTAAGTGATGGTCTGTGATGTGTACATTACTGGAATGCTTCTCAGAATAAAGGACCACCATATTATCAGTTGTAAGACCCCAATGTACAATGATTTTCATTTTCTACCGAAGATTGGCTGTCAAAAAGCTAACATTCCAATTTTCAATAACAGTTAACAGCAAATACATTCTCACAATAACCATGATAACAGATAACAAAAAAGATAATAGTCCTATAACAGCTAACTAGGAATATGACAATAACAGCTAACAGCAAATAAAATTTCAGAATAACAGATACCAAAGAATTAAATTGCCCCATAACAGCATAACAGTTAAACCCCTTGCCCCCCTCTGTAATGAATTTTTATTGCCGGGTCGGACTAAAATGTATAGTTCCAGAGTGCATTAAGTACTGTTTTTGGTTCTACACCGATTAATCTGTTGAAAGTTGTTGCTGATATATATAATGGTGACTGTTGTTGCAATTGGACTATTTCATTTGTATCTAACATTACTTATTTTAATATTAAAAGTCGTTTCAAAACTGATTGTGTGACATTATGAACATTTCATTTGCGTTTATATATACTCTTTTTCATTTTTTTTTCGAATTTAATTTTTTTCGGGACCTAAAATATTTTTAACCTCTAGATCTCAGTTGGAAGGATATAATTATACATGTATGCCATTTTCTGAAACAAATGCCTAAATATGTATTAGTCCGATGTTATTATATATAATTTCGGATTATTGTCATGTCCACAATCAAGTTGATCTGGAGTTTATGTAATAACTGTCATGGCTGCGCCCATGTCGAAGGACACTGGGACTGATAAAATTCCAGTTTTAACTCCAAATGACGTTCAAAATTTTAGTTTTATAGTCGATAATGTTATTGGTGAAAAGAAGAAGCATAGAAACTTCTTTATGCCGTTTGGTACTGCTCCTCAGATGCCAAAATCAAAAGAAGAAGTATTCATTACTGCATTTTTTGAAAGTTGTTCATTCAGAGCCTCTGCAAGTTGTGTTGCAGGTATTGATATTGTACTGTAGATATTGATTGAACAAAATATAAGGCTGGTCTTACCTGTGTAAAGGGAACAAAGTCTGTACAAATAAAACTACACTCAGTACAGAAAAAATGTACTAAGGTTATCAAATTTTTTTCTTTATTTTTACAAATTATGACTTTAATAAAAATACTGCTGGATTGACAACAACACTTTAGTGAACTGCAAGTTTTATTGTGTCGACTAGTTTCGCCGATTAGATCGGCGTCTTCAGGACAAATTATATAGAAATTACAATCCCTGAAGTATAAAAAATGGTATCTTAATTTTAACGTCATAATGTGTTTACTCCATTGTCTTTGTTGTTCCTGGTTACCAATGTATGAATGAAATGAAAAAAATACAAATGTATGTACATAAAGATAGTAAATTAAAAAATATGTGTAACATGATTGCAAGTACAATGTCAGTGTACAGTTTGTATACATATTTTTTAATTTACTATCTTTATGTACATACATATGTAATTTTTTTCATTTCATTCATACATTGGTAACCAGGAACAACAAAGACAACATAGTTGCCAACTGACATGATATTCGCGTGTAATACATGCTTTTTCAACGGTTTACACGCGAGGATTTTATCACATGGCGTGTACACGCTTTTCACCACTTTACACGCAATTACACGCTTTTTCGTTGTTTTGATTTTTTGGTTGTTAGTGATATCGCGATTCTCTGGTTTTTTCATTATAACACGATAAATACCGAAATTTCAAAGTAATTGTTTGGTGGCCATTGTTTATTTTTCTATATGGATGAACAGCAAAAGCTCTTACGGTAAGTAGTTTGTGATTAGTTTTTATGATTTTGGGACTTTCTTTCTTTCAAATTCACTTAGGGGAAATGTCCACAGAAAGAGGTAGCTTTCAGGACCTGTACTGTCGTCTAAAGAGCCGATTTCTAAGCGAAAACGATGTGTACGTACCAAGATAAATTCTAGATTTATAAATTATATTTGGGAGTTCGAGTTTAAATCATCGAGGGATGAGTAACGCATTGTGCACTCTATGTTGCAATCATAACAATACATATGAGAGGAGAACTAAAATACATAGCTATTTGATTAAGCATTCAACAATTATAAAATATTTTTCTTTTTCAGTTTCAAATGTAGCCAACAGATTTCCACAGGCCATAGGGGATGGAAATATCACGGAACTTATGGATCAGTTCTCATAGTATTAGCTGTCTTCTGATAAACTACCCAGTTTTGACCAGGCAATAGCAACATATATTGTAAAGTTTGTTGGGAGCAATGGCAGAGATCATAGATGACATTTTAGATGGCAAAAAAACATTATGACACTCTTTCAAAGCTTCATGAAGCTATTTTAGTTCAGCCAAATATCAATTCTGACTGTGACAGATCATTTTCAATTATAAAGACATTTACACTGAATTCTGATCAGAACTCGACAATGATATATTGTGTGCCTTGTTATCAAGTACATGTAAATGTATCCAAACCAGCAGGTGTTTTGACTATGTGCCTAGTGGTGTTGCTTTAAAAGCAGCAAAACAGACCACTGTTGAATACAATAAAAGTTTACAGTTGAATATTGTTTTATATATTAACAAATTTGCATATAATGTGAAATTATGAACATTGTTCATATTAAAAAGTCCGCATCTACGTCACACGTTTTTACACGCTTTTTGACATGTCATGTCATGTCATGACATGATTTCTCATTATCAGAGGTTGGCAAGTATGAAAGACAATGGAGTAAACACATTATGACGTTAAAATTAAGATACCATTTTTTTATACTTCAGGGATTGTAATTTCTATATAATTTGTCCTTAAGACGCCGATCTAATCGGCGAAACTAGTCGACACAATATAACTTGCAGTTCACTAAAGTATTGTTGTCAATCCAGCAGTATTTTATTTATATATTTTTATTGACAACCCTGCATACCATCGGGTATCCTCTTTAGTGACTCTACCTTCACTTCACCACAAAGGCATTGGTTCAGCAGCTTCTTATAAATTATGACATTGTAAAATATAAAAAAAAAATCACTAGTGGTTCAGAACCAGCTACCGTCAGAAATTCACAGTTTTTCTCAAATTTTTTTTTACAGGAATTCTGTTTAGACATTTTTGTAATATGTAACAGGTTACCAAAAGTTAGTTCTAGCACCATAGACTCGGACTTCAAATCCTCTTATAATTAATGTGAAGTGGGGTGCTATTGTGGCGATCTTTGTGTGAAATTTGACACGAGTTTGAAGACCAGTCACCGTCACTTCAGAATATTGCTTCTAAATAATAGAAATTTTGCTTTATCTGAATATAAGTTTTATATTTTGATAATCTGTGGTAAGAAGCTTAAGAGAAGGTTGATTGTCAAATGAAGCAGACATATAGTCCTTTCATCCAAAATTCCAAAGCTTTTCTTCCCCTCACTAAATCTTAACTGATCATGACTTTATGTTACTTGAAATTAACAAGTAACACTGTATTTAATAGGAGTAAAGATGCTAATTTTCAAATTAACAATTTTTGTAAAGGAAGCTTTGGTTTAATTTTATTTAAAAATGGTCCGTTTTCTAAAATCGAGGACGTCATAAAGTGATGACATCAAGCCCCTGCAGGAGCATCTTCCCACGATGTGTTAAAAAAGTGGTAAAACTAGCATTTTCTTGTCCTAATCTAATCTAGATCTGATCAAACAAAACAAAGTTTTTGTTTCCTACATGTACTTAATTTTTAAAGAAGTAAATAAAGAGCTGCTGAACCAACGCCTCCTATTTTTGTGCTGGTAGAGTTCCCTTAAGTGGATACCAGATGTTATGCAGGGTTGTCAAGATAAAAAAATAAAATACCGCTACATTGACAACAACACTTAAGTAAACTGCATCTTTTATTGTCGACATGTTTCGCCGATTAGATCGGTGTCATCAAGACAAAGTATACAAAATTAGAACTCCTGAAGTACAAAAAAACGGCATCTTGTATGTGACGTCATAATTTTCCATTGTTGACGTTGCTATATGATACTCTATATCAAAATGTAATGTTGAACCGAAAATGAATCAAACATAGTACAATGTATTTCTATTATATCAAAAAATAAATAAAGAGCTGCTGAACCAACGCCTCCTATTTTTGTGCTGGTATGGCATTCCCGAAGCGATTGGAAGTAGTACCTCTGGCCAAAGGGAAGCCAGTCGAAGTGGTAGGGGTGTGTCCTAAAAGTGTTGTCCAAATTAGGAAGAAACTTTATACAAACTGTACACTGACATTGTACTTACATTCATGTTACACATATATTTATTTAAAAACACATTTTATTTATACACTTATAATTACCATTAGAATAGTTTACAACCATTTTTAAGATAAAGACAATTAGAACAATTATAGATTAACTCTAAATTTAGTAACTTCATTTGCATTGTACTACATGTATGTCTGATTCAATTTCGGTTCAACATTACATTTTGATATAGAGTATCCTATAGCAATGTGAACAATGGACAATTATGACGACGCCGATCTAATCATAAAAACTTTTAGCATATAATTTCCAAATTTATGGAAATGAAGCAATATGAAAAGGTAGGAATGTGGCAATTGCACTATCCTTAAAGATTTGGATTAGCACAGCTAATCTTCAGGTGGACTGATAGTCCGTCCTCAGACAATTTGATAAAGTTAGCTAAATACTATATATATAATTTTCAAAGGTTCTACATTTTGGTCAAGAATAATTATAAACTTTTCAAAGCAAGATACACATGATAAATTGCTGTGTATAAATAAATGTCTTTTATGACAAATTATAAATACCAAAATCTATTAAAATGACTAATTTGTAATGATTTAGCATTATATGACATATTTATTAACAAATATGAAATTTGGAGTGAAGCAGGGGGAGCTACATTTTGTAACATCCCATTCTGCTACATATAGTTGAATGACAAAAAGAGGATAAACAAGAATGTGTCCATAGTACACGGATGCCCCACTCGCACTATCATTTTCTATGTTCAGTGGACCGTGAAATTGGGGTCAAAACTCTAATTTGGCATTAAAATTAGAAAGATCATATCATAGGGAACATGTGTACTAAGTTTCAAGTTGATTGGACTTCAACTTCAGCAAAAACTACCTTGACCAAATTTAACCTGAAGCAGGACAGACGGATGGACGGACGGACGGAAGGACGAACGGATGCACAGAACGAAAAACATAATGCCCCTCTGATATCGTAGATGGGGCATAAAAATTTGATATATAAATGATTTGTTTTTACATTTTAACAGGCTTAAATTAATACAAAGTAATTAGTCTTATATTTTGTTTTATAAATACAGGTTTTGCATTAGGAGGAGCATTTGGTCTGTTTACAGCAGGTATTGATCCAATGTCTACAATGACAACAGAGACACCGACCACCAGGATGGTACTCAAAGAAATGAAATCAAGATTCTTTTCATATGGTAAAAACTTTGCCTTAGTGGGTTGTATGTTTGCCGGAACAGAATGCTGCTTAGAGTCAGTGAGTATGATATAATTATACTGTACCATTGTCATATTTTTTTCAGTCCATTTAGGTAATGTTAAAGATCAAATTGTAAACTTGTTTTAAACAAGCGTACATGTATATGTTAATTACAAATAAAAAATGGAACAGGAAGTTTTAAGTCCACTCTTATTTCTATATAATCATGATGATTCTTGAAAATAAGAAAAGAAAAAATTATAAAATATTTCATTCAGGAAAATAAATAATGTTTTTTCATAAGCCAAGGAGCCTTGAAACTCCAAAATGACCAGTCAATCAAATTGGAACAAATAAAATAATTCATATAAGGAGATGTGGTATGATTCCCATGAGACAACTATCAACCAGAGACCAAATGACATACATGTATAAATGTTAGTTTCTAAAGGTCAACATGTACAGTTTTGTACTATAATATTCTCAATACACAACACTTACATTTTGTACAACAGAAAATTATCATAGGTTAGTGGGAAAATATTATATTAGAGAAAATATATCTAAGGAGATAGATTAAGTGGTATCAGATATTGAAAATCCAAAGGGTTAACACTGGACTAAGGTTACTGAAAACAGACCAGGACAGGAAAAGACCCAAAATGATCAGATAATGGTTCATGCAAACAACAACTCTTATCTAAACAGAATATTGAATAAAAGTTTCTTCAAATTTAATCGCTGCTGTGGATTCATTATTATTCGTGGTGTACCAATTTTGGTTTATTTTCTAGGCATAGTGAAACCACAAATTGAAATGTTTATTATTGAATTTTTCTATAGACTTGTAAACTAAATTTGCTAAACCACGAATTCAAATATCCTTGAAAAATACTGTTTTTTCTCAATCCATGAAAATTGGTATCCTCGAATATAAATGAATCCACAGTATTCCAGTTTGTGTATAAGGTCGAAAAACCTACTTTTTCATGTTTATCATGTTTATCATGTTTATGATTTCTATTGATTAAACATGAACCTGTATTAAAAAAAATTATTATGATATATATATGTATAGATACAATGTAAGTTGTTCACCTCAAATTACATGTATAATGAATATGTAAATTCCAGACAAAGGGAGATAATCATGTAAAGGAACTAACACTGTTGAAAAGTTGTGTATCACAGAACAAGAGTTTACATTTTTACATGTACAGTAAATTTACATATACTTCACAATCCTTGACTTTTTGTTAGTCATGTTGATACACAGAATTTTTAATTAATTCAAAATGACAAACCAGTAAGCTTCCCACATACATTTTTGTATATATAATTTTGCTTAAAGTATAATTTTTACAGATATCATAGTACCCTCCAAGTGCAAAGTTAATTACGTAATGAAATATTTATTATGTTTTCCAAATGATACCCACAAAAAAATAGCAAGTTCAAAAGTTATTAAAGATTTTGATGTTTTTAACAATAAGGAGATGTGTGATTGCCAATGAGACAACTATCAACCAGAGACAAATGGACAAAGATGTGAACAATGACAGGTCACTGTACAGCCTTCAATAATGAGCAAAACCCATACTGTATAGTAAGCTATAAAAGGACCCAGCATGAAAAAATGTAAAACAATTAATACAAGAAAAACCAACAGCCTGATTTATGTTTAGCTCACAACTCCTTTACTGCATAAGTACAACAACATACAAATGTACATGTAACTTCTGTTTATTGTGTCTTTGGCCATCACATTATAAGAAGTAAAACCTGCACTGTCGATGTGGTTCATAAGTGTTTCTCGTTTTTTATATAGATTAGACCATTGGTTTTCCCGTTTGAATGGCTTTACACTAGTAATTTTTTGGGGCCCTTTATAGCTTACTGTTCCGTGTGAGCCAAGGTTCCGTGTTGAAGACCGTACTTTGACCTATAATGGTTTACTTTTATAAATTTTGACTTGGATGGAGAGTTGTCTCATTGGCACTCATACCACATCTTCTTATATCTACATAACATTATAAGAAGTAAAACCTGCACATAACATTATAAGAAGTAAAACCTGCACATAACATTATAAGAAGTAAAACCTGCACATAACATTATAAGAAGTCAAACCTGCACATAACATTATAAGAAGTAAAACCTGCACATCACATTATAAGAAGTAAAACCTGCACCTAACATTAGAAGAAGTAAAACCTGCACATCACATTATAAGAAGTAAAACCTGCACATAACATTATAAGAAGTAAAACCTGCACATCACATTATAAAAAGTAAAACCTGCACATCACATTATAAGAAGTAAAACCTGCACATAACATTATAAGAAGTAAAACCTGCATATTAGTTGTGATGCCATATATCACAAATACAAATGTATAGTTGTTTTCCATTTAAAAATTTACTATTTTCAAATAAGGATAAAATGAGATGTGAGGTATTCGTCGTTGATTACACATCAACCCAACATAACAAAAAAACATTTTCCCATGGAAGAAATTATTTGACTAATTTATATCTGTAATATAAGTGATATATTTGGTTTTCAGTACCGAGGAAAGACAGAATTAATCAATGGTACAATATCTGGAGGCATTGTAGGAGGTGTTTTAGGCCTAAGAGGTAAGAATCAAACCTTTGTGATAGAAAGAATGGTGATGCCATTCAGTATTGTTTCCCAGTCTCAAAAATTGAAAGAGATTGGTGTAAAATCATACTTATTTTTAAAAATTCACATACATTTGCTATAATTTCAACAAAAAATAAGATGTGGGTAAAATATGCTTTTTTCAAATTGCTGGTACAGTATCAGATTTGAAGTTTAATTTCCAAATAGATGTGGTGTAATCTTAGTTTTTATACGCCCGTTTACGGGACGTATTATGGTATACCTCTGTCCGTCTGTCTGTCTGTCCGTTGTCAACATGTCAGACATTAACTCAAAAACGCTTTAACCAATTTGCATAAAGCTTTGGTGAATTATTTATATCTATTGACGTGAGCTCCCTTTCGTTTTTTATAAATTTTAGATTTTACGTTTCCGAGTTATGGGGTTTTATTCATTAAGAAAAGGGGGATTTTCCAGTTTTCGGACAATAACTCAAGAATGCTTTCACCAACTTGCAAGAAATTGTGGTGAATTGTTTATATCTATTGACATGAGCTCCCTTTCCATTTTTATATATTTTAGATTTTACGTTTTCGAGTTACAGGGTTTTATTCATAAAAAAGGGGGGATTTTCCAGTTTTCGGACAAAAAATCAAAAATGCTTTCAGCAGTTCGTTTGAAACTTTGGTGAATTGTTTATATCTATTGATTTAAGCTCCGTTTAGAATTTTATAAATTTTACATTTTACATTTCTGAGTTATGGGGTTTTATTCATTAAAAAAGGGGGGATTTTCCAGTTTTCGGACAATAACTCAAAAATGCTGTCAGCAATTCTCATGAAACTTTGGTGAATTGTTTATATCTATTTATGTAAGCTCCCTTTACATTTTCATAAATTTCTAATATGACATTGAGAATTAATTGAACTTTATTTGTTTATAGTCTGACAACAGATTTACTAAGTATTGCGCAACAGCACAGTGTATTGCACAACAGCAAGAAATCTTTAATTGAATATAAATTCAATTCATATAACCAATTTCAAGTTCTTTGACTACATTTATTCAGAAACCTATAATATGTCAAATATTTAATACAATCCAAATTCAGACCCGTATCAAGCTTGAATATTGTGTCCATTTTTGCCCCAACTGTTCAGGGTTGGACCTCTGCAGGCGTATCTAGCTGCGCTCAGCGAAGCAGTTTATTGTTAAAGGTCACAAATTTTGAAAAATATCTTTTTATACAAGGATTACAACAATTGATTTATATTTTTATAATGTGCTAATTCAAACTGATTCTGATGTCAAAAAAGGTGTTCAAAGCACAGGCCCTTGTCTCAGATTTTTTTATACGACCGCAAAAAATTTTTGCGGTCGTATATTGGTATGACGTTGGGGCCGTCGTCGTTGTCGTCGTCGTCCGGTGTCGTCCAAAGACACATTGGTTTTCGCACTCTAACTTTAGTTAAAGTGAATGGATCTCTATGATATTTTACCATAAGGTTCAATACCACAAAAGGAAGGTTGGGATTGATTTTGGGGGTTATGGTACAAACAGTTAAGGAATTAGGGGCCAAAAAGGGGCCAAAAATAAGCATTTTTGTAACTTCCAGACATAACTTGTGTGTTAGTGTATGGATCTCTCTGACATTGTACCACAAGGTTCCATATCACACAGGGGAATGCTGGGATTGATTTTGGGGGTAATTGCCTCAAAATATTAGGAATTAGGGGCCAAAAAAGGGGCAAAAAACAAGCATTTTTCTAGTTTCATGACAATAACTTGTGTGTAAGTGTATGGATCTTTCTGAAATTGTACTACAAGGTTCCATATCACAAAGGGAAAGCTGGAATTGAGTTTGGGGGTAATTGTCCAAAACGTTTAGGAATAAGGGGCCAAAAATAAGCATTTTTCTAGTTTCCAGACAATAACTTGTGTTCAAGTGTATGGATCTCTCTGAAATTGTACCACAAGGTTCCATATCACACAGGGAATGCTGGGATTGATTTTGGGGGTAATTGCCTCAAAATGTTAGGAATTAGGGGCCAAAAAAAGGGGCAAAAAACAAGCATTTTTTTAGTTTCATGATAATAACTTGTGTGTAAGTGTATGGATCTTTCTGAAATTGCACTACAAGGTTCCATATCACAAAGGGAAAGCTGGAATTGAGTTTGGGGGTAATTGCCCAAAACGTTTAGGAATAAGGGGCCAAAAATAAGCATTTTTCTAGTTTCCAGACAATAACTTGTGTTCAAGTGTATGGATCTCTCTGAAATTGTACTGCAAGGTACCATACCACAAAGGGAAGGCTGGGATTGAGTTTGGGGGTGATGAATCATAAGGGGGTTCAAAAAATTTGGGGGGGGATTTTTTTTTTTTTCCTTTTTTTTCTTTTTTTCTTTTTATTTTCTTTTAAAATTTTCCATTTTAAGTTGGTTATTTCTGTTTTATATTTAAAAGCAAATAATAATGATATGGTAGGAGATACACACCAAACAGGATGTGTAAATTATTATATAATAAGTATTGTGCAATAGCAAGAAATTTTCAATTGCACAGTATTGCACAATAGCAAGAAATCTTCAATTGCACAGTATTGCGCAATAGCAAGAAATCTTCAATTGCACAGTATTGTGCAATAGCAAGAAATATCCAATAGCACAATATTGTGCAATAGCAAGAAATTGTCAATTGTACAGTATTGCGCAATAGCAAGAAATATTCAATTGCACAGTATTGTGCAAAAGAAGATACTTCGTATAAATTGCTTATTTCTTGACCAATTTCAATGGGGTTTTATTCTTGAATTCTTGGGGTTCTTTAATATGCTGATTCTAACCGTGTATTAAGTTTTTGGATTTTGGGCCCCGTTTTTAAATTGGTCCACATTGAGGTCCAAAGGGTCCAAAATTAAACTTTGTTTGATTTCATCAAAAATTGAATTATTGGGGTTCTTTGATATGCCGAATCTAACCGTGTATTTAGATTCTTAATTTTTGGTTCCGTTTTCAAATTGGTCTACATTAAGGTCCAAAGGGTCCAAAATTAAACTTAGTTTTATTTTAACAAAAATTGAATTCTTAGGGTTCTTTGATATGCTGAATCTAAACATGTATTTAGATTTTTGATTATGGGCCTAGTTTTCAAGTTGGTCCAAATCGGGGTCCAAAATTAAACTTTGTTTGATTTCAACAAAAATTGAATATATGGGGTTCTTTGATATGCTGAATCTAACCATGTATTTAGATTTTTGATTTTTGGGCCCCATTATCAACTTTGTCCACATTGAGGTCAAAAGGGTCCAAAATTAAAGTTTGTTTGATTTCATCAAAAATTGAATTCTTGGGGTTCTTTGATATGCTGAATCTAACCATGTATTTAGATTTTGGATATTGGACCATAATAGGTGAATGTCCAATTTAAAATTTTTAAGTTCTTAGACCACATTCATTCTGTGTCAGAAACCTATGCTGTGTCAAATATTTAATCACAATCCAAATTCAGAGCTGTATCAAGCTTGAATGTTGTGTCCATACTTGCCCCAACCGTCAGGGTTCGACCTCTGCGGTCGTATCAAGCTGCGCCCTGCTGAGCATTTTATTTTACCTGTATATTCCTTAAAATAAACCTCTAACAAGAAATTTGTTTTGCACACGTATAAAAATTGCGATTTTTATCCAACGCAATCATAGGTTTGAACGTTGTTTTCAATTTAGACTTCCTTAAAATAAATAGATATAGACTAAAGTAAAAGAATCTGAAACAACTGCCTGTGGTTTTCGTTAAAAAATTAGAAATTTTGAGAAACATCTGTTCTTGCTATTGCTAGGACATTTCAAACAAATCAATGTATAGGTATAATTTGCTATTCCAAAATGATTATCTGTGTCAAAAGTTATTGTTTGCCCACCAAAAGACATTTAGCTAGAATTTTAACCAAATTTATATTTAATGAGAACACATCTTGACTTTATTGCTGGTTTTAAATATATGAAAATTGACACCTCATTGACATTAACTGCTTTGTATGCATCAGACTCTGTGCTTCACCCAACAAACGTGGAAGCTGGGCCCTTGCTGACATGTCAGTTTTCTAGCTAAATGGAATTCTTAATAGATCTACAAATTCATTTTAATTTCATGGCTCATATGAATGCAGTTAAAATTTAATAATGTACTACATATTTTTGTTCTAGCAGTTTATGTTAAAGAGGAAATTATCATTAAGTTTTCTTTATATTTTCAGCTGGACTAAAGGCTGGCATGCTTGGTGCAGCAGGATTTGCAGTGTTTTCTACAGCTATAGATTATTACATGAGACACCATTAACACAGGCTAAACCCACCAAATATTCACATGGTGGGCTCTTATTAAACACAGACTAAACCCAACTAACATACAGATGACAGACTGTTAACACATTACTTTTGTAAATTGTACTTTTTGGAACTGCTTCACAGAAGAGTTTATAGTAGTATAAGTTTATTGGCTGGTGTTAAGAATCTGGGATTAAAAAAGAGTTATAGATTTTTACCTAACGTTAAGAGTATTACTCTATTAGCTTTTTGACTTGTAGGATGATATTGTGTATTATATTTGTGAAGTTTTTGATTTGTAAATGAATAAATGTTTTTGAAGAGTTGAGTTTTGTTATTATGTAATATCTCTGCAATAAAAGTAAATTGTGTAGGATTCTAACCAAAATGATCCAAAAATGATCAAAATGCATCCAAAGAGAGCATCATTGCAACTTTTTTATGACTGATATATATACAGGTATATGGATCTGTCAGGTACCAAATTCCTGTTTTGTTTACAGAAACTTTGAATTTTTCAATATGTTGAATGAAGTTAGCTTGACTAACCTAAATGCCTTTGGTTACTGTAAAGCAAAACAGATAAAAATAGGAAGGTGAAAAATGTCTGGCTTGCTCAAATTTTTATTATGGAAGCCCTGGATTGAACTTAATTTTTTCATCACACTCAAGTACTACTGAACAGAATTCCTAAATACATGCATCTAGTCAGCAGCTAAACAGTGGTGAGTTGTAACATGCAAGCATTTTTCAGTTCTGCCAGACATCTACTTCCTGTTTTCACTTGTTTATACTTTGAATAGACAACTTTCGAGTTCGATGCATTTCCGTCAAAAACTTTGGTTTAAGTGAACATCATTCGTGCGTTTAGGAGCATCGTCACTTTCGTTCCCATGTTGAGTGAGTGGTTGGAAAACTATGATGCTGTATTGCACGTATTATTCGGTAAATTGAATTCTCATAATTGACAATCAGCACTGCTGTCATTAGGGAATTGTCATTAAGTACCTACAGAACAGACATTATTTCTAGTTTATCCTGCTCAATGACGATCACTAAGACGCTTGATGAACGTTAATAGTGCAGGGATACAGGCGATCCCCTCTATCTGGTAAATGACGTCATAAAGGCGCGCATAATTGACGAGTTTTTTCCAGTGAAGGACAAACTCGAAAGTGGTCTATTACATGTGTGCGGATTCTTAGCACCATAACAGGTGCATCTTGTTTTTTTTAATATTTTAGAAAGTGAAGGTCAGTATGTTCTGAAATTCCAGGAGAGTAGCCTCTGTGATCAGTTTCTGGAATTAATAAAAGGAGGCTCTGAAAATGCAGGAATGGGTTATGAATTGTCAATTTTAACCACTTAAATTCCCCTCATTATAAATGTGTCTATGCTAAGTCAGGAACATTGTAAGTAGTATTATTGTCTCAAAGAAAGTTGCAGAATACAAGACATACATGATTGGGATACTGACCATACAGCAGTGATGGCATAACATATTTGTCTTAGTCTCTAAAGCTATAATTTAAATGTAGAAGACCTGAAAATTTCATATCTTGTATATAGATTCCAAATGTCCTGAAGTTTTCATCTGTCATATGACCATTGTTGACTGCATTTCCATGATTCACAATTAACTACAAGCCCTACAGATTTATAAATATGATGACAGACTGATTTTAGGGCTTGTAAGTTAAAAAGTTTTTTGTGAGGACTGACTTAAAAAAACTTTTAAGGTTTTAATCATGTTAATTTCTCACTTATTATGAGTAATAGGATAACTATAATTAGTATATAGGTTCTTGCAAGGTCAACACATAAAATATGGAGATGTGGTATGATTGCCAATAAGATAACTATCCATTAAAGGATTAGTATGTTAACAAGAGTGCACATGCTGAAATGTCTCGCCTTCTTTACTAATCATTGATATTATGTTGATAGTCCTAAATATAAAGCTTTATTACAACTGTCACATAAACTTAACATTAACCAAGTAAACTAAACATTGACCAATGAACGATGAAAATGAGGTCAAGGTCAGATGAACCATGCTAGGCAGGCATGTACAGCTAACAATTCTTCCATACAACAAATATAGTTGACCTATTGCTTATAGTTTAAGAAAAAAAAACCAAAACACAAAAACTTAACACTGAGCAATGAACCTTGAAAATGAGGTCAAGGTCAAATAAAACCTGCGTGACTGACATATAGATCATAAAATATTTCCATACACCAAATATAGTTGAACTATTGCATATAGTATTAGAAAAAAAGACCAAAACTCAAAAACTTAACTTTGACCACTGAACCATGAAAATGAGGTCAAGGTCAGATGACACCTGCCAGCTAGACATGTACACCTTACAATCATTCCATACACCAAATATAGTAGACCTATTGCATACAATATTATAAAAAAAGATCAAAACTCAAAAACTTAACTTTGACCACTGAACCATGAAAATGAGGTCAAGGTCAGATGACACCTGCCAGCTAGACATGTACACCTTACAACCATTCCATACATCAAATATAGTAGACCTATTGCATACAGTATAAGAAAAACAGACCAAAACATAAAAACTTAACTATAACCAGTGAACCATGAAAATGAGGTCAAGGTCAGATGACACCTGCCAGCTAGACATGTACACCTTACAATCATTCCATACACCAAATATAGTAGACCTATTGCATACAGTATAAGAAAAACAGACCAAAACACAAAAACTTAACTATAACCACTGAACCATGAAAATGAGGTCAAGGTCAGATGACACCTGCCATTTGGACATGTACACCTTACAGTCCTTCCATACACTGAATATACTAGACCTATTGCTTATAGTATCTGAGTTATGGACTTGACCACCAAAACTTAACCTTGTTCACTGATCCATAAAATGAGGTCGAGGTCAAGTGAAAACTGTCTGACGGGCATGAGGACCTTGCAAGGTACGCACATACCAAATATAGTTATCCTATTACTTATAATAAGAGAGAATTTAACATTACAAAAAATCTTAACTTTTTTTTCAAGTAGTCACTGAACCATGAAAATGAGGTCAAGGACATTGGACATGTGACTGACAGTAACTTCGTAACATGAGGCATCCATATACAAAGTATGAAGCATCCAGATCTTCCACCTTCTAAAATATAAAGCTTTAAAGAATTTAGCTAACGCCGCCGCCGCCGGATCACTATCCCTATGTCGAGCTTTCTGCGACAAAAGTCGCAGGCTCGACAATAAACTATAGGACATTGTACAACCTTCATCAATGAGCAAAAACCATACTGAATAGTAAGCTATAAAAGGCACAGGCATGACAAAATGTAAAACAATACAAAAGACAAAATCAACGACCTGATTTAGCTAAAATCATAAAACAAATAAGGGCCAATACAATCTAGACTACCACAGAACTACAGGGTCATGATTTGGGATAAGCACATTCAGAGTGTGGTGGGATTAAACATGTTTGTGAGCACTCAACCCTGCCTTAATGTTGAAAACTTGTGTAAGTAACAAACTATAAAAATCTCATGGAAAAGGCTTAACTAAAAATAGCACTACATGACTGTTACAGGGTTCACCTGACCTTGACCTCATCTTATGCATCAATAATCAAGGTTAAATATTTGGGGTTAAGTCCATATCTCAGATACTATAAGCAAATAGGTGAACTATATTTGGTGCACAGAAGGAATGTAAGATACACATGTTTGTCTGGCAGGATTCATTTAATCTCGTGTTCTAGGTTCATTGGTCATCATGAAGTCCATATCTCTGATACTATAAGTAAAGGTTGATTGTATTTAGTGTATGGAATAATCGTGCGGTGAACATGTCAAGCTGGCCTTGACCTCATTTCATGGTCCAATGTTCGATTTTTAGTTTCCATATGGTTAGGTCAGTTTATCAGATAATATACGCAAAAGGTCAGCTATATTTGGTGTATGGAATGATCGTAAGGGGTAAATTTCCATCTGACCTTGACCTTGTTTTCATGGTTCATTGGTCAATATAATTTTTTTTGGTCAGCTATTATTGCTGAATGAAAATATTGTCAGGTGAACATGTCTGTCTAAAAAGGTTCCTCTGACCTTGAGCTCATTTTCATGATTCATTGCTTAATATTTAGTTTTCTAGGTTAGATCCAAACCTCAAATACTATAAACAATATGTCAGCTTTAATTGGCATATGGAATGATTGTTAGGTGTATCTGTCTGTCTGACAGGGTTGATCTGACCTTGACCTCACTTTCATGGTTCATTGGTCAAGGTTTAGTTTTAGAAGGATTGTAAAGTCTACATGTCAGGGTTTATTTGGCCTTGACCTAATTTAAATGGATCACCAATAATGTTAAGTTTATGTGATACTTGTAGTAAAACCTTTATTCATAAATTCAATCATGATCAATAAAGCAGACAAAACATTTCAGAGTGTGCACTCTTGTTTCATTTAAATAATAATCAGTTTTCTAGTTCAACCTTCTCTGCATCATGGAGTCAAACACGCAGGGGTGTTTATATTAAGCACTGCTGAAATATCTTTGGATTTTGAATAAGGACGTAACTCATAAATCATAATAAGCACTATAATTGCTACTGTTTAAAGACACACATGACCATATTTACACCAATGAAAAAGTTGAATTTATTAGGGATCATAGATTTATTCTTACGAGGAAGCTCCGAGCATGCTCGGAGGATGCTCGGAGCTTTTTAAGTAGGGTCTTCTCAGCAGTTTATGTGACAATAATTATCACGATCCATTAAGATGTCAATCAAATCTATAGCACTTTTATAATAAGGAAAGTAGAGCATTATAGAGGAAGCTCCATTAACACCTGTGTAAACATCTATTCAAACAAATCTTGCATTAATTTGACAAAACTATAAAATAGATGAGAAATTCTTCAATATTACTGTACAATGCTTGGTATCAAGTTTTCACAGAAAAAAATGATTTTAAAACATTTTCTTAATAATTATCATTCTTTTTCAATACACATGATACAAAAAAACACTCAAATTTTATATTTAAAATATAAATATATTTTAAATTTATACTATATAAAATGAAATATAAAAGTCATCAAAGACACAAACTATGGTTATTGATTTATAACCATACTACCAAAACATAGTACATTCAGTTTCATGTGAAAAAGGGTTGATCTTTTTTTATATTCCATTTAATTTGACAGTTGTTTGAAATTAACCCTCCATTTCATTGCAGAAAAGTTTTTTTGAGTCGTAAACATGTAACTTGGGTGTTTCAAAGCAATAAAAATATACTATATTCTACAAGGAAAAAAGGAGGAGAGAATTTGATTGGTTAACTTCTGGTGATGTTTACTTTCTTATATGCATTAAAAAGTTATGCTATATTTTCACTGTAGTACAGGACAGGATAAAACTTTATTTATGTCAAGTATTTCTTTATTTAAAACATAGATAAATTCTGCACATTTTTTTTGAAATATAACAATCATGACAATTAAACAAAGACTTATAGGGGGAAAATAATTATACTCATGCCAAGTATTTCTTTATTTAAAACAAAGCTAAATCTCCACAATTAAAAAAAAAGTGCCAAGTAAAGAGAGACGTACAAGAGGGAAAACAATGGTGGTATTACCCCCTCAAACTAGGCTTCCACTAATAAATTACAACTTTTCTTAAGTAGCCATAATTTTCTATAAAAGAACTTAGTTTGCTATTTAAAAAAAACATATTACCATTGTTTAGTTAGGGGCATTATTTAAACAAGTAATATTCAAAATTACCTATACAAGTTATGTTGAAAACGAGGTTGTTTCAAATATTACTTCTATATCATGAATAAGTAACTTATGTTAATATTATTTTTATAGGTGTCCATTCATACAGGTTTTACTAGCTTTAACAAATTTTCACAGACATCTGGTTATTTTCCGTATGAAATATACTGGTAAAACTATTTAAATCCTCAACAAGCACTAATTGCTTTTCTGATGCCACACTTCTTGGTCAAAGATTGGCCTCTTGGGGCTATTAAAATATCATTTCCCCTTAAAATCTTAGAGATGGACACTTATAACTAGATATGGAACCTTTAATTAAGACTTGAAGTTATTTATAATTTGAATCTTAATCAAAAGTAATTACATATATTCCTTAAATAATTGTAAGTACTAAGTTTTTTGAAGTTGTATAAAATAATTTATTAAAGTAATATTTTTGTCATTATTTTTTAAAGTAACCTCTCTATACTCATCTCAAATTGGAGAAATACTTAATTTTATTTAATGAAATGATATAAAAATTCTTGAAAACTACATTTAGTCCATGCTTTATTTGACATTTAAAATAACTATTGAGTTAATTTTATTAAATAATTTTTAAAAACAAAAAATACTTATAAAAGTGACTAAAAAAAATTACTTGTTTAGTATCACCACCTGACTGTTGTTTGTGTCTTGATAATTTTTATGTAGCATGTTATATAATTTAAAATATTTTTTTAATCATATCATCTAATTATAAAATTTGAGAATTTTTTTATTATAAAAAAAGGAATGATTATTAAATATAATAAGAAAATATTTAAATGACTTTTACTTTTTGTGGAGACTTGAGCTTTCTTTCCAAGCATTACACAGCACTGTTGAAGAATTTCTAATCTATTTTATAGTTTTAAAAAATTTCATGCAAAATGTATTTGAATAGACCAGATGTTTACACAGGTGTTAATGGAGCTTCCTCTATAATGCTCTACTTTCCTTATCATAGAAGTGGTGTAGATTTGATTGACATCTTAATGGATCATGATAATTATTGTCACATTAACTGCTGAGACGAGCCTACTTAAAAAGCTCTGAGCATCCTCCGAGCATGCTCGGAGCTTCCTCGTAAGAATAAATCTATGATCCCTTAGATTATTGATGCTGGTGGATATTTTTATTTTTATTATTGGTTTCTTCAATGAATGAAACATCTTAGTTACATTGTTTTTTTGAAGAGTGCATTGTCATGATAAAAAGATTGTCCTTTGTACAGTAATATTTACTTCCATATTGGTAATGTCTTTTCCTGCGGCTTAAGTTTTATCAATGTTTCTGTCTATATAGCTGTCCGTTGAGCAGTCCATACATCATAATAATGACATGTAGCTATTATGGAAGTATCAATTGTGTGGTGAGTTGGTTTTCCAGTTTTCCTGTCAAGGAAATCTGGCATCCTAGAACAATAAAACCTAGCTGCCATGATATAGTCAATTGTGCTGAAAGTGGCGTTAAACACCAACAATCAATCAATTTTGTGTGTTTTTTTTTTACTCTGTAAATACACAAAGAAGACAGAGAAATAAACTAATGACACTACAATCTTTATTTATATCCCATTTCCTTTAGCAGACGAGAAGTAGAAGTGATGCACATATCTTCATTCCAGAGTAAGTAAATGTATTTGCCATTTGAAATAAACACCCTTCAATCAAAAACACCCTGCGATCAATTCATCCTTCCTTTAAGTTTCCATTGCAGGAATTAATATATAAATAGGTTTTTCTTGTGTGTATTAAAAGAAGGATTTTTAAAATGTCAAAGATTATTCATTTTTAGTTTCATGCCATTAATTAGGCCAAATGGAAAAAAATTCTATGGCGTTAAGCTCATGTCATGGAAAAGGAGGGAGTATCGCAAGAGTGATTATCTAGCCCCCAATTTTGATACACCAAATAAAATTCTTCAACCCTTGCAAATTTATGTTTACTGATAACAAATGCATAGGAAATAGTCATTACAAAATGTCATTTGCGGTGACACTGTGATGTCATAAATGACCAAAAAATAAAAATAACACTATATAAATTTGATTCTTCCGAAACGCTTTTCTGGATATACCTTCATCAAACATATTTATGTACTGAAATTTTATTGACACATCTCTTGTCAAAATAAATAATGATTTTCATAGATGTATATTCAATATTTTATTTAAAAATAAAAATAGTGGCCTTATCATACTTTCTCCTTTGTGTATGTTATTGGCTAGTAAACAAGAAAAAATATTGTGAATATTTTTTTATTATTTGCATAAATAACATAATTTTTTAATCAAACATAGAAAACAAATTTGATATCTACAACAACTGAACACACCCTTTTTTAATCCCTCCAGGATCTATGTATATTAACTATTCCCAGCTACAAGTTTGGAATTATAACTCTTGATTATTCTATAAAGTATTGAAGTGTTCTTATTAAATCAGTATGAATAATCAAAGTAATTGGTATGAATAATCACAGTATGAATAATCAAAGTAATTGGTATGAATAATCACAGTATGAATAATCAAAGTAATTGGTATGAATAATCAATGTAAAATCAGTGTCTTTGCTGACATTATACAATGTAAAGAAAGTAATGAAATTTCTGTGTGTGTGAAATATTGTTAATAAGACAGAATTTTCTATGAAGACAGGGTGTAATGAGGGTACTACAGAACCAGATCTCAATTCTTGAAAATTTTTGTACTTTTACATTAAATGGAGCACATCTGGAAATACTTTCTAATGTTAATAATTTAGCATAAATCTATACACAACCATGGTACTATGTGACAAAGTATTGGATATGGGACTTTGTGGTTATAATGTCTGATTAAATAAGTATTCTGTATGTTCTGGGTTGACTACACGATGAACAAACTTCCATTCTCAACACGTATACGTAATAACAACTGCACACTGATGAAATAAGGCAAACACATCAGGTCATCACAGGCTTAGAAATCACAGATAATGGCAGAATTATCTCCCTTGGAATATTATCATGATACTTCTTCATACTGCTTTAAAATTGAGATCTGTAAAAAATATAATATGTCAATTAGATAGATGACCTCTGTTGATTGCTGAGTGGCATGTTTCGTTGATATATTAATAGATAAATATCAACAGATAAATACAAATATCATCATCATGATTTTCCTCATTCTGTTTGATTTCATAAAATTGATAAATAAACTTTTGACACAGAGATATGTCTTGCATGTATGTAATTTTGATAGTTTAATGCAAATCTTGAAATTAAAATGGCTTTAAAACATGTTAACAATGTATAATATTCCAAGTCAGGGCCAAAAAGTCTCCGTCAATGACATTGACTGAGGGACAAGGCCTTATAATCTCTGTGGTAATGAGGCGTGCATATACCATTGGTGGTTCATCATATATTGACCTAATCACAAACTTTAACATGAAAACGAAGTAAAAGTTTAAAGGTCAATAGCCCATGGATGAGGGGGAGGGACCAAATCATCTCCTTGCTGATACTAATACACCAGCATACCAAAAATCATTGACTTCACACACTATAACATGTAAACTAAGCAAAATTTCAAATTCAATAGATCATGACTATGGGGCAGGGCCAAATACTTTCAATGGAAATGAGATGTACTAATACTTCTAAAACTGCATACCAGATATCATTGACCTACCACTAGTGGTTCCCCTTGACATTTTCACAAACTATTACATTGATGAAACAGTATGCCTGTCTTTTTTGGACTTATTTTGACAAAACTGATCGAAACCTGACAGCTTATACCAAACTGTAATAATTTATTCTGTTCTTGTCATTGTTTGAAACAAAAAACATATTTAATTTTTTTCAACTTATTCAGTGAAAATCCTAGCTACTGCTGATCTAATTTTATTGTCAAATGAATAGGATGATATCATCTGTTGACTTGAGTCCAGATATGTCAGTTGTGATGTCACTATTATATCTTAACATATCATATTTGACCTTAAATGGCCATTTTACATATTTTTCAAGGAAAAAGTTAGATACAAGCAACAGCCTGACTCAACAAGTGAATCTGTGAGCTACTGCTCACTAATGATACCCCCACCCGCTAAAAGTATAAGGTAAACAGGAAGTTGTTGAGTGATGAATCTGAAATCGCATCATCCCGTATAGCAGACTTATATAAACCCTGAAAACAAATTTCAGAAATCCTTGTATTGTAGTTCCTGAGAAAAATGTGACGAAAAATATTCATGGGACGGATTGACGGACTGACGGACTGATGGATGGATGGACTGACGGATGGACAGACAGAGGTAAAACAGTATACCCCCACTTTTTTAAAGCGGGGGTATAAAAAGAAACTAGTATGTTATTCACGTTTACATCTTTAATCTTTTAGCCAAATATATTTGGGAAATGCTGTGGCTCATCTCATGCCTAATATTAATAAAAAGATCTCACAATGACGCTAAACTGCAGAAAAGAAGACAGTTATACCAAAACTGTGTCTGGCATTACTAATTTGATACCAAATTGTAAGGTACTTTCCAGGTGAGTGAATGACTCCCGACCTACCTTATCTTTGAGCTGCTGACATTGTTGTAAGGCAAGTGTAAATAACATCACTGCTTCATTTAACCATTGAACTGTACACTCTATCTGTAAATAAAAAACAAAATACACAATACGTCAATTCTTAATTTACTACTTAATGCATATTATATACTATTATTAGGAGTTTTCTGGTAAAAGGAAAATAACTCTGTTTTGAAAATCATGGTAGATAATTAGAAATGCATTACACGTCCGTGTATATTTGTCAAATAAATTATATATGATATTATGTTATGATGATTCATCAGAAATTTCTGTAATGTAATAAAAGAACGCTGTTATCAACCTGAGACTTATTCAGATTTCTTTTTCTTCTATGTACCAAAAATCCTGTTCACTTTGTAAATAGAAATATACAGTTAAGATAGAAACATGTTTATTCAAAGCTTCATAGTCTGACATGATTAAATATCCATATAAGACATTAAAATTGAGAATGGAAATGGGGAATGTGTTAAAGAGACAACAACCCCACCATAGAGCAGACAACAGCCGAAGGCCACCAATGGGTCTTCAATGCAGCGAGAAACTCCCGCACTCTGAGGCGTCCTTCAGCTGGCCCCTAAACAAATAAGTATACTAGTTCAGTGATAATGGACGTCATACTAAACTCCAAATTATACACAGGAAACTAAAATTAAAAATGATACAAGACTAACAAAGGCCAGAGGCTCCTGACCTGGGACAGGTGCAAAAATGTGGCGGGGTTAAACATGTTTTTTGAGATCTCAACCCTCCCCCTATACCTCTAGCCAATGTAGAAAAAACAAACGCACAACAGTACTCACAGTAAAACTCAGTATAAGAGAAGTCCAAGTCTGATGTCAGAATAGGAAACAAAAGAAAAAAACCAAAATGACACTAATACATAAATAACAACAGACTACTAGCAGTTACTGACATGCCAGCTCCTGACCTCAATTAAACTGATTGAAAGATTATGTCTTCATCATTATATACTTATCCAACAGAAAAGAATTTCATTAACAACATTCAACAGCTAACCTTAAAATGATTATTTTAATGATGTTTACCAGCTAGCCCCAAATGATTGTATCTTAATATCCAGTCTTAACTTCAGGAAGATCTTTTTTCTGTCTCTATCACGTGAAGTACAAGCCCAAACCAATTTTGTAATCAGCTCTGGTGACAAGTGATATAAATACCTGTCATTATAACTTTATAAACAATACCTGCTGCCTTGAAGTAATTTCTGTCCTCCCTTGTGATGACATGTTGATACTATACAAAGACATAATAAGTTTGGAAGAATGGATGTAAAAACTTAACGCTGTATCATTTGGCACCGGTGGGACTAAAATTTGCTGAAATGAAAACAATATTCTCATATATCAGTACCAAGTTATAAATATAGATTATAAGTTTTTTTGCACATTAATATCACAAAATATAAACCACAAGCCACAATACGAACCTTTTTGGAGAGTGAGTGCATCATATTGAAATCTATACGTCAACAATTTAATAATCTGATAATATTTCGTCGCTCCAAAGGCAGTTTCACAAGAAAAATTCTGTTTCAATTTGGTCAACGACTTCAGTGCAGATTTAAGGTAAAGGTTAATGCAAAATACTATGTGTTTATAATTAATTGTTTGGTCCTAATTTTTGTGCATTTCATGAATATAGGTGAACTACAATTTTTAATCTTCATCAAAATACAAATACTTTAGGCCTATAGGCTATTATGCAGAATTTGTAAATACAACCAAATGACAAAAACAGGAAAATACATTTTTTCCCCATTAATTCACCAAAACGAATAAGCATGAAAATAAGAAATCCACATTTGTAAAACAGACATCAGGAGACCAACAGCTTACAGACGAGGTAAATCTCTGATATCAAACAACATTAAAATATTTGACTGTAAATGTACTAACCATATTTCTACTGTATATAATATCTTCAATGGATTTTCTTTTAGGATAAGCCAGACATGATCTACCCTGATTTAAACTGCTAATCAGCTCATCTAAAAGCTGTCAACATAATCATTACACATTAAATAAAACATAACATTGCATTTAGTCTTTTAGTTCAAGCTTTATTGTGGGAGATCATGATTTATCTATTAGTTGTAATTGCCATTGAACTAGCTATGATGATTTTTTCCCCAGTAAATGCTAGTACTATTAGATCTGGTGTCTTTTTCTATTATGTTTGTTGTTTTGTGCTTTCTCCCAATCTATTGAGATAAGCCATTTTCAACTGATTTTTACAGTTTGCTCTTATGTTGTGTTGCTACAAGACTGTCCCAGGTTAGGGGAGGGATGAGTGCTCACAAACATGTTTAACCCTTCATACTTTATGTGCCTGTCCCAAGTCAGGAGTCTGTCATTCAGTTATTGGTCACTGTATATCTTATCTATTTTTTTGTTTACTGTTTTGTACATTGATCATATCACTGGTTTTCATGTTGGAATTATTTTACATTTTGTCATTTCTAGGACTTTTATATAACTTACCATACAAATGGGTTTTGCTTATTGTTGAAGTCTGTTCATTGACTTAAAGTTGCTTACCGGTACATCTAAGTCATGGTCATGGGGTCTAGGGTGGATAGTTGTCTCAATGGCAATCATACCACATCTCCTAATTGTTATACAGGTTATTATTGCTTCAATTGATTGATTAATGAATTACAACTCCTGGTATCAGATATCACGTGTCAAATATGATAGTACTATTGCTATACTCTCTGGGGTACTAATTTCATGGATTTAATGGGTATAGCTAGGTTAACCATGAATTTAAATATTAAACAAAGTTAATTTTTATCGGGGCTTGTATGTTGTCCAAATAATTATGAAGAAAGGCGTCACAGAAAAAAAAAATTAAAATAGCCTTTCAAGACGTCATAATTACTTGGACTAGGTTTGTATGTAGACTTTGCCCAATCCACAAAATCAAAAATCCTCAAAAATACTTTTTTCCACAATCCACAAAAAATTGGTACCCATGAAAATAAATGAATCGTCAGTACTTTACATTTAGGGAAAACATGATAATCATAACAATCAAGATATTACAAATGCTTCATTTATGTGTAATTTGGTGCAACTTTCCAAATAAAACAGAAAACAAGCTGGAAACATTTTGAAAAAAAACTATAATGTTATGGTTCTATTCAACTCACCAGAAAAACTTCTTTTGCAGAATGGAACACATGATCTTTGTCTATTTGATTGAGTGAAAACATGGCTTTTACTAAATAGTTTCCAGCATCCTGGATCTGAAAGATCATCAGTTACGAAATATTACAACTTTATATATCAAATAAGACATAGCTGATATAAACCTAAGATATAAATTTCATAAATACATGAAATATCTGGGCAAGAATTGTACACACTTCAGAGCACTTACAATGCAATTTTCTCTAAAAGAATTTCCATTTCTAAGGGACATAACTCCTGTAAAAATTATTGATCAGTGCTGATTTTCGAACTCGTCTAAAACATTGTTAAACAAGAGTGCACATGCTGAAATGTCTCGCCTTCTTTATTAATCATTGATATTATGTTGATAGTCCTAAATATAAAGCTTTTTTACAACTGTCACATAAACTTAACATTAACCAAAAAACTAAACATTGACCAATGAACCATGAAAATGAGGTCAAGGTCAGATGAACCATGCCAGGCAGACATGTACAGCTAACAATTCTTCCATACAACAAATATAGTTGACCTATTGCTTATAGTTTAAGAAAAACAGACCATAACACAAAAACTTAACACTGAGCAATGAACCGTGAAAATGAGGTCAAGGTCAAATAAAACCTATGCGACCGACATATAGATCATAAAATATTTCCATATACCAAATATAGTTGACTTATTGCATATAGTATTAGAAAAAAAGACCAAAACTAAAAAACTTAACTTTGACCACTGAACCATGAAAATGAGGTCAAGGTCAGATGAAACCTGCCAGCTAGACATGTACACCTTACAATCATTCCATACACCAAATATAGCAGATCTATTGCATAAAGTATAAGAAAAACAGACCAAAACACAAAAACTTAACTATAATCACTGAACCATGAAAATGAGGTCAAGGTCAGATGACACCTGCCAGTTGGACATGTACACCTTAAAGTCCTTCCATACACTAAATATACTAGACCTATTGCTTATAGTATCTGAGATATGGACTTGACCACCAAAACTTAACCTTGTTCACTGATCCATGAAATGAGATCGAGGTCAAGTGAAAACTATCTGACGGGCATGAGGACCTTGTAAGGTATGCACATACCAAATATAGTTATCCTATTACTTATAATAAGAGAGAATTTAACATTACAAAAAATCTTAACTTTTTTTTCAAGTAGTCACTGAACCATGAAAATGAGGTCAAGGATATTGGACATGTGACTGACGGTAACTTCGTAACATGAGGCATCTATATACAAAGTATGAAGCATCCAGGTCTTCCACCTTCTAAAATCTAAAGCTTTTAAAAAGTTAGCTAATGCCGCCGCCGCTGTAGCCGCCACTGGATCACTATCCCTATGTCGAGCTTTCTGGGACAAAAGTCGCAGGCTAGACAAAAACCAAGAAATATAGGCTTGAGGGTGCTAACAATGCAATTTTCCATGTAATTAATATTTATAAGGAACATAACTCTTAAAAATATTTGATATGCACTGATTTTTGAAGAGGGTGTAAAGGGGGGGTATCTGCACGGAAAAACATGAAATAAAATTGCCATTTCACGATGAACGAACAATAAAAAATTTCTTGCACGTTGATCTTTTTACCGATTTCACGAAACATGGTGAATAACAAACCTTTTTCACAGCTGCACGTGAAATAAAAAAGGCAAAACAGGTTGCACGAAAATAACCCTTTACCACCCTCTTTAAACTGGTCTGATCCATATACCTTTGATATGAATTTCATAAAAAACTGGCAAGAACTGTACAAGTACTTGCAAGACCTGACAGATGGACATCAGGTATTTCTATGTACCCAACAACAGTTCACACAGGGGACAATAACTTATCATGTCATTAACTGTGTGCATTTGTTTATTATAAAAACCTTCCATTTCTTAATATACTTCCTGATTTTTTGTCAAAAGGTTTAACAAACAAATACCTGTTGTAATTTCCAGATTAAAAAAATCAAAATATTAAACAAACAAATACCTGTTGTAATTTCCAGCTGACTTCAGGATTGATAGTAGTTTTAAAGTTGTGATGGTCTTTGGCTTGTTTGTGCTTGAAGTTGATGTCCTGTAAATGATAAGGTACTTATAGCATCATGCATGTTACAAAGTTATTGATTGTACTTTGGCTAAAGATTACTTCATTTCTCTGAATTGAATAACTTACAGTCTGTAGATAAGGATGAGCAATCTTTAAACTAAAGGGAGCCTGTGTCTCTCACCTTGGTCTAGTTGCATTCATGACTAAAATCTCATTTTTGTCGAACTTGTTTTGCTTATCCGTTTCTCTCTTATCTTCTTTAGTTTTTTTTTGTATCATATGAGATTATCTTTTAAATGTAAATGCACAAATGTATCCCTCATTATCATATTTTCTGAGACATGGGCATATATGTAAAACATAGTTAATTGTGAGAGAGAACGATTTACTGTATATAATTACTGTAAATTGAGAAAAGTGATATAAAAATTCATAATACAAATTTTTTTGTTTGCCATACCTATCATGCCAAAATTTTTGCAATAATAAACACATTGCAAAAATTTCTGAGTTTGGAATATACATTATAATTGACAGGTAATTGGTGAGATATAAAACCAGCAATGAGTATCATTTGCTAAGGAACTTTTCCTTTTGTATTTTCAAATTTATTGAATTTAGCTACCAAGTAATTTGACTTACTGCATCACAGATACTATCTCCAAGTAAGGTGACAACACACTTTATAGTACTCCCACCACTGAAAATATAAAATGGATTCATAATAAGCCAGTTCAGATTGTTATAGATTAGTATTAAATCAAAAAATTGTGTGAGATACTATTTTTTGTTCGTTTTGGTGTTGAAAACTTCTGACTGTATGTTTTGGTGACAAATTACGTCAATTGATGGTAAGTGCTGCCATTGAAGTTTAGGGACATGCGATATCAAGGAACAAACATTTTCTTATTTTCCCAGAAACCCAAATTTAAGCCAAATGTTTGTATATTTATAGATGTTGTAAACTTGACCTAAGACTTATTGACCTTAAATTCAATGGCTATCTTCTTCTCTCCTGATTTGATTTCATGTTCAAAGGATAATGTCTGAAAACAAAACTTTTACCAAAAATGTTTTCTTTTAAAGGAGCATCATTAAACTTAATTTGGTATTGGGTTCATAAGATATTAAAAAGCCTAAAAATATCCCTAATTTCAGTCTATAAAGTGCTGCTGCAACCCTGACCTTCAACCCAGTGGCCTTGTAGGGTTCTTACCATAAAAAAAGCCTATTATCAACCAAAGATTAGTAAAGATCTGATTTTTGGATAAAAAAATATTGTCTGAAAACAAAACTTTTCCCATAGTTTTTTTTTAAACTATTCATAGGGTTGTCACCTTCGTCTTTGACCAAATAACTAAATCAAAGTGCTTGTAAGAACTAAAAGGTAAAGATTGCTTTCATTTAGTATTGTGAATTAAAATCAAATGTTGCATTGTATTGAGCAATGGAAGACTTTGGCAATATTTTGAATTTGAGTTATGTTTTCTGACCATAATTGTAGTTGAACCTATTTTTATAACAGAGAGTTTAATACGGGATTGATTGTTGGATGCTTAATGTCAAGTGGCAAACAGTTCAGGACAAAAACAAATTTTCATTAAATATGATAGGTAGGTCTTGTAATACAGGGTCAGTCAGGATGAGAGGGAATGTTAAATCTAATGCCTCACGTAGAGAGAGTGCCACACACTCTGCATGTTAAGAACCCTTGCAACATCTCTTTGAAAGGTCCATAAGTGGCCTGTTGCAAAGCTAAATTTTTGCCCCTATCCAATATACACTCATTTTTCAGTGGCATTCCAAATTTCCTGCATTCTGACGGGATGTGGCTGCATATATATATATATTTACATAACTAACTAAACAAACACCCCACTTTGGCAAGGTTTTTACTGCCAGTCGGAAGGAGACCAATAGTGACCATATTTCTATTCCCCAGTCACCCTTTGGGTTAGATTCATACACCATTTACAACTAATGTAATTTTCAAAAAAAGAGTTTTCTTGTAAAGTATGATTATATACACTGTATCTTAAAATCTTAATATTTATCAGTTATAAATTACTTGACATGAACATGGAAAGGACCTAAAGAATGTTCACCTCACTGCTCTATGATTTTTGTGTTCTCAAAGGTAGAGATGAGGTCTGGAAATATAGATTACACCACTGCATCAAGTGTGTTACAATATTTCTCCACTCGAGACAGTAAAATTTTAATATTTAAAGCTCAAGGCTTGCCAAGCTTTCTAAATAACTAAAATTTAACTGTTGAGAGTGGAGAAATATTGTAATACACGAGATATAGTGGTGGAAGCTGTTTCTCTAATGATTTTTAGAACAAAGTTTACTCTTCTTTTTCAAAGATTTGCAGAAAGTTGTGTTCTTTATATGTGACGTCATCAGACATGGTCGCCTTTTTTCATGACGTCACAATAGGAAATTCAGAAGAAACCAAGAAAATTTGACGTCATAATTAATTTTCAACCAATCATTTGCTGAGAACAAAAGTTTTCTCTAGAGATGAGAAATATTTTTCACCCACCGATCGAGAATTGTGAAAAAAGCATGAAAATTAGAGAAACTAAAGCAATCAAGCCTTATGGGGCATTTTTAAACTAAGCTGGGTTATGGTTCAATACATGGTTCTAGAGACTTAAACTGGAAACCAAAATGTTGCCCTAATTTCAGTCAATTGCGTCTGTGTCCTTTACCTTTTACTGGTGACATTTGAAAATTGAAATTCAAGAAGAATTGTATATTCACTGCATGTATATGTTGTGACAAGAGGTCAATACCAACTTTAACATGTAGTTTACAAATTTATAACCAAAACCATGAAGTTTAAGCCATATTAAATTCATCATTCAAAAATCAAGAATATTGATTTAAAAAAAGAAGACTTTACTCAAAACCCACACATGCTATTAAAATCAGAAGCACCTAAATAATGTAAAAATAAATTGCTTCGCTGAGTGCAGCTGGATACAACCGCAGCCTGATACGACCGCAGAGGTCCAACCCTGTCAGTTGGGGCAAAAATGGACACAATATTCGTGCTTGATACAGGTCTGAATTTGGATTGAAATTAAATGTTTGACACATAATAGGTTTCTGACACAGAATAACTGTAGTCAAAGAACTTAGAATTGGTTAAATGTTTTGAATTTATATTCAATTTTTTGCTATTGTGCAATACACTATGCTGTTGCGAATTGCCCCCCCCCCCCCCCCCCCAAAAAAAAAAATCCCCCCTTTTTTTTTTGCTTTTGTGCAATACACTATGCTGTTGTGAATTGACTCCCCCCCCCCCCCCCCCCCCAAAAAAAAAAAATCCCACCCCCCAACTTTTGTTTTTTACAAAAAAAAAGAATTTTTTGAAGAAATTTTCTTTTGAATTTCTGAAATCTGTAATGAGAAAAAAAATTGTTCCCCCCAATTTCTTTATAACCCCTCCCCAATTTTTCAACTCCCCCCCTTTTCCCCTTTTTCCAAAAAAAAAATCTTTCCCTCAAGATAGGGTCATTATCTCATTTCAATTTTCCAATGGAGTTTGCAATCATAATTAGCCATTTAAATACATCATAAAAGTCTTAAAATAGCAAATGACATATATAATCATGTCTAAAAATAATATATCTTTTACCAGCATTTTTATTAGTAACTTCTAAAAATAAATTGACAGCTAATCACCTCAAAACAATACAAAATTTCTTTATACATGTACATAATTTTAAAGCAGTGTAAGGGAGGTAGTCCAAATTTAACATTGTACTTATAAGTGATTGTCCATTAACAAGGAAACCCTTGTTTTTTCCCCCCTTTTTTGCCCCTAATTCCTAAACAGTTTGAGCCATTACCCCCCAAAGACAATTCTAACCATCCCTTTGTTGTATGGAAACGTACAATTTCAGAGAGATCCATACACTGTTCCACAAGTTATTGTCTGAAAACTAGAAAAATGCTTATTTGGGCCCCTTTTTTGGCCCCTTATTCCTAAACTGTTAGGACCATAACCCCCAAAATCAAACCCAACCTTCCATTTGCAGTTATAAACCTTGTGTTTAAATTTCATAGATTTCTATTAACTAATACTAAAGTTATTGTCCGTAAACCTAGTGTCTTCGGACGACGAAAATGACGACGTGATACCAATATACAACCGCAGTCGTATAAAAAGTTGTAACATAAATTGACAGTAGTTTATTTTATTGTTGTCAACTTGTGTAGAACATTTTTAAGTGTTTGATTGTGTATTGTCATTTTTTTAATTTTCTTTTCCATTTCATGCAGCAAGATTTAAAAAAAAAACTAACAAGTGGAAGTGTTGGCAGGGCCAACCAATGCTCCAAAAACTGCACACTGGATGGTCCCTAACATACCCTATAATATTGCTGAAAAATAAAAACAAAAGTCATAGTAATCTAAAAACCAAAACTTTACTAAAGTTTCTCCAGAGCCCTTATATACATGGAAACTTTATTGGGTACCTTTTCAAAATTTGGACAGGAATTTCCCTCTACCCTGGCTAACCAGCCAGGTTCGGAACGCCATATTCCAAATAATATTGCTGAAAAAAAAACTATTTCAAATGATTTCATCTAGAAACAAAGATTCAGGTTACACTAGAATTCGTACATGGCTGTTATGTGTTACAAATGCTTGCTCAAGAGCCTTGATATTTGGAAACCCCCTTTCAGGCCCCCAGTATTGGCCAGGGGTTCCCCTGACCCTGTCTTGTAGGTACATGCACAGTATATGAAAATTCTGAAAAATATGAAGCCATAGAAATGATCATAATTTATCCAGAAACAAGATTGGCACAAATTTCATCCCATTTATTTATCTGTCTATTTTTGTAACTGTTATATTGACCTTTGGTAATTGACCTCAAAATCAATAGGCTTTTCCCCTTTTGTATTATCTACTACCATGACTACTGTATGAGTTAGCTAAATATCCAAAAAGTGTACCTCAAGAAATCAACCAGAAACAACAAATTGCATCTCATAGTTATATATTTGCACTGAGTCTATATTTAGCCTCTGTGACTTTAATTTTTTTTACCTTATAGACCTGAAAATCTTCCATATTCCTATATCATCATTCTACATAACCTCGTGTAAATTCAACAAAGGAAAATCAAAGTTATCATCCAGTTACTAGTTTTCCCACTTTTGTTTAATTTTTAGTAACAGCAACCTTGACCTTTGACCGACCGATTTCAAAATCAGAAGGCTTCTTCCTCTTCCCCTTAGCTTCCTCCATCTGTTTAAGTTTCATTCCAATCCATCAAAGGATTTTCAAGTCAAAATCTGGATAGCAATTGTTTTTGAACCATGAACAGAAGGAAAAAACAGACTGACGGACAAAGACATAACTATATGTTTGGGAAATTTTCCTTGAGGAGCATAAAAATATTAATATTTAAATAACAGTTGATGTTGAAACCCTTAAAGAGATTAATGGTAGCCTGAGAAACAGAATATTTTTCTCTTACAATGTCATAAGGTCATAAGGTCATACTGTGGATTCATTGTCATTCATGGGTTACAAGCTTTCTTTGATTTCGTGGGTATAGGGAAACCACAAATTTAAATGTTATGAATTATAAATTGTCTATAGTCTTGTAAATGAAATCAAATATCCACAAAAATACAATTTTTACTCAATCCATGAAAACCAATAAATCCTCAGTATTTGTATGATATACTCACTTGGGACTAGAAAGAAGAATTCTGTGAGGCACAACTAAACTTTTATTTTCATCTGAAATATAGGATACAATCAATCAATAGTAGTTCACGGTACCTAATAAAAACTGGTATAAAATTATATCATACGGCAAATTTTGAAACTACTGCGAGCATTTCTAATTCTAATTTAAAATCATGTTCATAAATACCATTATCAATGACAACCCAAAAATGAGTTTTCATTAATGTGATAAAGTCATGTCGTCTCATTTTTCACAATTATTAAAACATCGCAATAATTTCTAAATTTACAAATACATTTACATATATACATGTATTTCATTCAGAACCAGCTTCATAAAGCAAAACTAAGGTTAATAAAATGCTTCGCTGGGCGCAGCTTGATACGACCGCAGAGGTCGAACCCTGAACAGTTGGGGCAAGTATGGACACAACATTCAAGCTTGATACAGCTCTGAATTTGGATTGTTATTAAATATTTGACACAGCATAGGTTTCTGACACAGAAAGAATGTGGTCTAAGAACTTCAATTTTTTTAATTTACCTATTATGGTCCAATGTCCAAAATCAAAATACATGGTTAGAATCAGCATATCAAAGAACCCCATATATTCAATTTTTGTTAAAATCAAACAAAGTTTAATTTTGGACCCCAACTTGGACAAACCTGAAAACTTGGCCCATAATCAAAAATCTAAACACATGTTTAGATTCAGCATATCAAAGTACCCGAAGAATTCAATTTTTGTTAAAATCAAACTAAGTTTAATTTTGGACCCTTTGGACCTTAATGTAGACAAATTTAAAAAACGGGACCCTAAATTAAAAATCTAAAAACACAGTTAGATTTGGCATATCAAAGAACCCCAATAATTCAATTTTTGATGAAATCAAACAAAGTTTAATTTTGGACCCTTTTGACCTCAATATGAACCAATTTGATAGCAGGCCCACAAATAAAAAATCTAAATACATGGTAAGATTCAGCATATCAAAGAACCCCATATATTCAATTTTTGTTGAAATGTAACAAAGTTTAATTTTGGACCCCAATTTGGACCATCTTGAAAACTGGGCCAAAAATCTAAAATCTAAATACATGTTTAGATTCAGCATATCAAAGAACCCCATATATTCAATTTTTGTTGAAATCAAACAAAGTTTAATTTTGGACCCCAACTTGGACCAACTTGAAAACTGGTCCCATAATCAAAAATCTAAACACATGTTTAGATTCAGCATATCAAAGAACCCCAAAAATTCAATTTTTGTTAAAATCAAACTAAGTTTAATTTTGGACCCTTTGGACCTTAATGTAGACCAATTTAAAAAACAGGACCCAAAATTAAAAATCTAAATACACGGTTAGATTTGGCATATCAAAGAACCCCAATAATTCAATTTTTGATGAAATCAAACAAAGTTTAATTTTGGACCCTTTTGACCTCAATATGAACCAATTTGATAGCGGGCCCACAAATAAAAAATCTAAATACATGGTAAGATTCAGCATATCAAAGAACCCCATATATTCAATTTTTGTTGAAATCAAACAAAGTTTAATTTTGGACCCCAATTTGGACCAACTTGAAAACTGGGCCAAAAATCTAAAATCTAAATACATGTTTAGATTCAGCATATCAAAGAACCCCATATATTCAATTTTTGTCGAAATCAAACAAAGTTTAATTTTGGACCCCAACTTGGACCAACTTGAAAACTGGGCCCATAATCAAAAATCTAAACTCATGTTTAGATTCAGCATATCAAAGAACCCTAAGAATTCAATTTTTGTTAAAATCAAACTAAGTTTAATTTTGGACCCTTTGGACCTTAATGTAGACAAATTTAAAAAACGGGACCCAAAATTAAAAATCTAAATACACGGTTAGATTCGGCATATCAAAGAACCCCAATAATTCAATTTTTGATGAAATCAAACAAAGTTTAATTTTGGACCCTTTGGACCTCAATGTGGACCAATTTAAAAACGGGGCCCAAAATCCAAAAACTTAATACACGGTTAGATTCAGCATATTAAAGAACCCCAAGAATTCAAGAATAAAACCCCATTGAAAATGATCAAGAAATAAGCAATTTATACGAAGTATCTTCTTTTGCACAATACTGTGCAATTGAATATTTCTTGCTATTGCGCAATACTGTACAATTGACAATTTCTTGCTATTGCGCAATATTGTGCTATTGGATATTTCTTGCTATTGCGCAATACTGTTAAATTGAAGATTTCTTGCTATTGCGCAATACTGTGCAATTGAAGATTTCTTGCTATTGTGCAATACTGTGCAATTGAAAATTTCTTGCTATTGCACAATACTTATTATATAATAATTTACACATCCTGTTTGGTGTGTATCTCCTACCATATCATTATTATTTGCTTTTAAATATAAATCAGAAATAACCAACTTAAAATGGAAAATTTTAAAAGAAAAAAAAAAGGAAAAAAAGAAAAAAAAAAAAAAAAAAATCCCCTCCCCCAATTTTTTGAACCCCCTTATGATTCATCACCCCCAAACTCAATCCCAGCCTTCCCTTTGTGGTATGGTACCTTGCAGTACAATTTCAGAGAGATCCATACACTTGAACACAAGTTATTGTCTGGAAACTAGAAAAATGCTTATTTTTGGCCCCTTTTTGGCCCCCAATTCCTAAACGTTTCGGGCAATTACCCCCAAACTCAATTCCAGCTTTCCCTTTGTGATATGGAACCTTGTTGTACAATTTCAGAAATATCCAAACACTTACACACAAGTTATTGTCATGAAACTAGAAAAATGCTTGTTTTTTGCCCCTTTTTTGGCCCCTAATTCCTAAAATTTTGAGGCAATTACCCCCAAAATCAATTACAGCCTTCCCTTTGTGATATGGAACCTTGTGGTACAATGTCAGAGAGATCCATACACTTACACACAAGTTATTGTCTGAAAGTTACAAAAATGCTTATTTTTGGCCCCTTTTTGGCCCCTAATTCCTTAACTGTTGGTACCATAACCCCCAAAATCAATCCCAACCTTCCTTTTGTGGTATTGAACCTTATGGTGAAATTTCATGGAGATCCATTCACTTAAACTAAAGTTAGAGTGCGAAAACCTATGTGTCTTCGGACGACGCCGGACGACGACGACGACGACGCCAACGTCATACCAATATACGACCAAAAAATTTTTAATTTTTGCGGTCGTATAACAAAAAATTTTTAATTTTTGCGGTCGTATAAAAAGCATACACTTTTATAACAGGTTTCTTCTACATTAAAATAGTACATGTAGTACCAACCTACAATATTTACACATTTAGATTAGCTCAGGGTTTACAAGTATTTGGTTTTGATGGAAAACAATAATTTCATGGAGAAAAAGTTTAAAACAATATCAATATTTTAGGAGTTATAATTTCCATGTACCGGTTTTATAGTTAGAGGTAACTCTGAAAGGCATAAAAGAGGGAAGGATATCAATCTAGTACATTCTTTATAACCAAAAGAATTTAGGTTTGTATAAATTCTGTAACTATCCATAAACTTCTTGTAGCATTCCAAAAGCTTTTGCCTATTGTGTTCTATCGTAACTGCCTTTTTTTTTAATATCTTGTATCCTCCATTTTACTTTCGGTGCCTGATATAGCTTTTATTTGCTCCCGGGGCATAAAACACCAATGTTCTATCAAACAAATAAAATATCTCTTCCTTTTTTAGCATACTTCAGAAATGTCTACCATTTACTCTGACTTTTCTTAATATTTAAATTCATGTTTTGCAGTTGTTTATTTCAAGTGTCCTTCCATACTAGAGTTGAGTCTTGTCACCTAGACAAAAAATTTCTCAACTTTCTATTTTCTTTCATCCACAAATTGCATCAGAAATGGGAAAACTCATAATAAAAAAATCGACCCAAAATGCAATAATTACTTTCTATAATATTCAATAAGAACAGTCATGTCCTATCACTAGGCTTAACATCAGAAGCAAACCATATATGACATGAGATACCATAATCTTGTCAGAACCAATGTTGTCAATAAAAGCTAAGCATTACTTAACAGATCAGACTCGAATGGATTTAGACATTTTTATTAAGTTATTGTTCATAAAATTTAAACACAGGAAAATCCCAGAGCAGAGATGAAGCACTTAGTTCTATAAATTTCTAATGGCTGTATAGATAATTAACAGAAGAATATTATGTCTTGATCTTCCTTTAGGAATCTAGAGTCCATACTTCAGATACAATACAAAACTGTGTGATGAAATCAAACCGACATGCTATAATATTTCCAAAAAGGACACAAACAGGGCTGATGCCATATTCTACAAGAATTTGGTATAAAAATAGTGCAAATCTATATGTCGAAGTAAAGTACAGACAGAGACTAAAATTTGCTTACAACATTTATTGCAAAATTCAGACTTTTTTACATGAGGCTTTTAACAAATATACTGTCTAGCTAAACAGCTAATGTTAATATCTTTGTATCAATAAATAACTTATTTAATAATCCATAATTTTATGAGTAACACTTGCTGCTGTATCATGTAACATTAAGTGACAAAAGTTTGATTTAAACTGTCCATAGTTTTTACTTATCTAAGTTTTCCAGATAGCAAAAGACATTAAATTTCCAATTTTATTCCAAATTATTCACTTTTATGGGTATGAAGTATAATGGTTGATTTCTAAAAGTGTTCATGGTAAAGGCAAAACAAGAATTAATGTATTACATTGAAAATAGTTTTCAGTTGCTGTGATAAAAAAATTCCCAGAAAGGAAACTAATTACCTAAAACCACAAAATGGTACCAACAATAATTAATGAAGGGACAGCACATTCTTATAGATTTATATATGTAATATATATATATATTAAACAAATTTGTTTTTCAAACAAAAAGAATTTATCGGAAATAGCTCCATGCAATCATGGCAATTGTGACTAAGAATTCCTGACTAAGTGCATGTGTTTCATGATGTTAACTATTTTTATTGTTTTCAGCTGGAAATAACAATGACAAAGATCGTGATCTGAAATTAA